CTTATTTAAAAATAACCCAATAGTATGATATAACATCTGCAGAAGATTTTCTTGCATTGCATACAATACTGCTCTGTGTGGGCCAATTATAGTAAATTGATGACTTACTTACAAAAATACTTCTACTGCAGTAATTTGTTATTTTGATATTAGTGATATTACTACTTGACTCAAATAATCTATCCAAATATACATGCTGGATACCCACATGTTCCCCCTCTTCTCTTCTCTCCCTACAATGTGGATGCAAATATTGAACGTTTTAACTTTTTACCTGGTTTAAAAAATAGTAAAGTTCACTTTGACCAGCTAGTGCAGATGAGAAAGCAGTGAGGGAGGAAAGATAGAGAAAGAAGCATCCATCCATTCTACCTCATATGACTTGTGCTATACCCAAGGTTTCTATTTAGTCTGTGACCCACAGAGGCGTTTCACCCCATATGTTGTTATTTAAGTTGAAATAACCCTTCTTAGGTAATAAATCAAAGTTCGACGAGCTACAGAAATGCGGCCCAACACCTCTCCGAGCTCACAGCTATGTATCTGCGATTGTGTAACACCTAGCACTGTTCGTTCCTGGAAGTTTGAGTACCTCACGCTTGTGGAAATATAAATATCAAGAGTGGTGCTTGGAGAGAGGCTGCAGCGACCCGAGCTGCATCAAGCGCAGGCTTTTTTAGCTGAACTCGGATTTGAAAGGCAGAGACAGCTCTTGCCTGAGGGCTATCTTAGGTATCTGAGGCCGAGAGACGTTAATATAACAATGTAAAGGGACCTATGGGAGAGGGAGAGTTACGGGTCTGTTTGGCTGCAGATGAGAGCCTGAAGCCAGGTTCTGTTTTCACATACCGCCCCTCTCCTGCCTCATACTGCTGCCACCCACACAGACTGCAGCACCAAACTGCTCCCAAACAGAACAGGTATATCAAAATCACCTTTCCCAAAAATTTGATAAATTGTGATTTTGAATGAATCACAGCATTAAATGCATCACATTCTGACTGAGGCAGACGATAAAGGACCAACTGAGCATCCTGTTAACCCCCTTTTCTGTGTTTTCACTCACGCAAATACACACCGACAATATCTACACACCACTAACACTGAATAGCCCAGAGCTGCATGCTTGTCCTTGGCTCTCATTGTAGAGAGAGACCTTATCAGAGGCCTCAGATGGAAGAGGATGAGAGGAGAGAGAGAGATGAGAGGAAAAGGAGGATGAGAGGAGAGAGCAGCGGAGAACAGGGAACAGAAAGGCCTGGAGCAGCATGAGCAAGAAAGCTCTCTGACTCTCCTGACTGTGATCTGTCGCCCACACACACACACACACACACACACA